CTGCCCTCTGCAGAATTTGTCTTTTTCTCGTAAGGCATGAAGAATCAAATGGATTAAACTTCTAGCCCTGTAGCTTCTCAGTCGTGTCCCTGCTGTTGGTAACACGGCAGGCAGTCACTTCGCTGGGTGCTTGCCTTGAGCGGGAGAGAGAGACTTTGCTGGAGCAAATTCCATTGCACTTCGCTGGAAGTGGATGGGGCTGGGCTCAGGTCTCATGGGGTTTGCATTCAAAATGAAACCTAACTTTTGGGGGCAAAACGCAGTGTTATGTAACTGAAACTCGTTGAATTAAGTCATGGTGATGTGTGTGTTTGCTGATCTCCTGCCTTAGGTTGGACATGTTTACTTCCCACAATAGACCATCCGTGGATGGGGACATGTGCAAGTCACCCAGTTTGAAATAAGGTGGTGACTCAGTCGGTACCATAACACTTTGACAGTTTGAAGAGGCTTGTGGGAGCAGTGTGGTTCAGTAAATTCACTTCCTGCCAGTGCAGTTACTGTCACTGTTTGTTCATTACCAAGTAAGAAACCCAAACAGTGTCAAAAGTTCAGGTAGTGAAGGGTTCAACGGGGAGTAGCAGGGTTTGTGGGAAAGGGATAAGAGGAGAGGAGGGTGCAGCAGGCCCCCAGAATTAAACCAAATACACTAATTTGATCAGTAAGGGTCTGGTTGAGCTAGATCAAACTTCTCCCACCCCTCTCCATGCTTCTCTTATCCCTTTGTTGCCTGGGGTGGAACAAGGTGCTGGTACCCAGAAGTGCCATCAGTAATAGAGAATGTTGGATTGTATAATGTGTATACAGTGAGTGGGACCTCTGTTTTCTACTTGTGCCTCATCCAGCCTGGCCTTGAACACTTCCAGGAATGGGGCATCCACAACTTCTCTGGACCACCTGTTCCAGTGCCTCACCACCCTCTCTGTGAAGAATTTCCTCCTGATATCTAATCTAAACCTCCCCACTTTCAATTTAAACCCATTACCCCTTGTCCTGTCACTACAGGCCCTTGTAAAATGTCCCTCCCCAGCTTCCTTATAGCCCCTTCAGGTACTGGAAGGTGCTGTAAGGTCTCCCCGGAGCCTTTTCTTCTCCAGGCTGAACCAGCCCAACTCTCCCAGCCTGTCCCCATGGCAGAGGTGCTCCAGCCCTCTGAGCATCTTTGTGGCCTCCTCTGGACTCGATCCGACTGGTCAATATCCTTCTGATGTTGAGGGCTCCACAGCTGGACACAGCACTCCAGGTGGGGGCTCGTGAGAGCAGAGCAGAGAGGGACAATCACCTCCCTCGACCTGCTGGCCACACTTCTCAGGATTTTGATTGTCTTTGTCATAGGACATATACTTCCCTCAAATTTACATAAATGTTCTTTCTAGAAATTCCTCTGATTTAGTGATTGGCAAAGTGGAGAGACTCATGGCCCTGTCTGTCCGTAGAAAATGTGGGATTTTTGAGGGTATTTCCTTTCTGAACTTTTTTTCACCTGAAAGCAGAAATCCTGTCATAATGTATTAAGACACGGTCGAACGCATGTTCCTGTTCTACCTTGTCAGTGATATATGGAGTTTTGTGCTCTGAAGAATCAAATGGCTAACTAAACAAGGAAGCTGCCATCCACTGAAGCGATGGGTGAGTCAAAAGGCAGTCTGCATGATGGGCTGACCTGTTCTTTCATGTCTTCTGTGTAATATTTTGCATTGGGCTCTTCAGAAATTTTCTGGCATTACTCAATATGCTTTATTCCCCCCGCCTCCTGCCTCTACCACAGAGCTTGATAGGTTAGGACTAGCCCTAGGGGTTACGTAGGCAAGACATATATATAGACACATGCACGCGTGCTCATAAACACACAGATAGGGAGAGATAACATATATACTATTTTTAAGCAGCGGGCATCACTGCCAGTGGAACTATTATCCTTCACTGTGAAGACACACCTGGAGAAGGTAGGACATCAAGCGCCGCGTGCTGCATATAGATGCTGCCAGGATGGATTTGGTGCTGGCATTCAGCAGTTGTCTGTGGCCAGCACAGAGTTTGGATTTTCCGGGGGTATGTAATTCTGTCACCGCTTTTTGGAAGCAGGGTGCTGAGATGAAGCTGTCCTCTAGGGTTAAATGGGTTTTTTTTTCCTGAACGCAGCACCTGCCGATGTACTTCTCTCTGGAAGTGTCGAAGGGAATGGCAAAAGGTTCCTATCAGCAAACACGAGAAGAATGGGTGTGATGTAAAGCAACTGGATGAGCCGCTTCAGCTGCCCTGCATGTCACAGCTCCAAAGCTTCTGCCTGCCAAATGGTTGGGAACACAGGCTGGTGTTGTAGCTAACCCAGATTTTGTGCACCCTCTTCTCTCCGTTTTGCTGTTCAGGGGCGGTTTAGCTGATAGTTGATCACAAAGTGTTCTGCAGAGATCAAAGGTTTAATCTGACTTTAACAGGAGTTGTGGGCAGTCAGAATCTCTAATGCTTAAGATGAATGTGAATAGGATGTTGTAACCTTAAGTGCTAAAGGACAGAACTTGGGTAAATGGGATTTTCATATTTCCACTGATTTCAATGTAGCTTAGACAGTTTACACAGCGAAGAATATGTATTTTAAATTCTCAGAGTCTGTAAAAGTGGGTCTTTGCTCAGGGAAGTATTGTTTGAAGTTCTGAAAGCCATCCAGGCATTTTTGCTCCAGACGTTCCGCTAACATCAGTGGGAGGCTCTGGGGCAGGTTCACTGCTCAGCCTTGAAAATCTCAGCACCAGAAGGTGTTTATCAGCTTCTGGGCCAATAGTCTAAGCACAGGAAATTCAGGGCAAGGTCCTCCACCTGCCTGTATGTTCATTCATTTTGTGAGAAAACACAGTTCAGTGCTTCGTTTCAGGATATTTCCATTTGATGAAAAGCTCACAGGAAGAGTGGGAGGCAGCTTTGAGGTTTTATTTCTGAAATACACCACTATGTTTAATCAAAGACTTGAGGTTGTACCTGCAAATGCTGTTTTCATACTGTGTGCTTAGTGACTAATAAAGATTAACAAAGCCTAATACAGTCACATTCCCATTTTGACTAATGACTGCTAATTTCTGTAGCTAATGTTCTGCTGTATTACTAGAATGGTTGTAAAAACTGGTCCTGCATCGTTTGTTCTGCTCACACTAAAATTTAGTATTTAGCATGTAAACGTTGGCTCTGCTCCACACAGTCAGGAGCGGCTCCTCAGCCCAGACACGGATTGTCTCTGTTCAATCAGAGGAGCTGGGCTGAGCTGTCAGCTTCAGGTTTAGCTCTCAAATTGCCCACTGCCCCAGGGTTGCCTGGGATAAATCCTCTTGTAGAAAGTATGAGGCTCTCAGAGGATTCTTTCATGATCCAATTACTTTTAGTAAAAGTGATGGATTTTTTTGTGGATTCTTCAGATTCTCATTTTAAGACTTAGGGACGAGGCCACTTTGTGGCATCTAAGATGCTGAGAAAGATCAGGAGAGACGGTACGATGCTAATGTAGTGGAAGGACTTACGTCAGGTGGCAAACATACTAAATAGGGGAACGTGCAAAGAATACAGAATCAATTCCATCCCATCTACTGGTTCACGGGTTCCCTCTAAAGCTTTTAACCTCTGCCTGCTACACTTGGCTGCTTTCCCTTAGAAAATTGTAATTGCTGGAAGAGACGTGCACACACTCTGCTCCACCCGTGCCGGAGGACACGGCGGGACACTCGGATTCAGTCTGGTTCAGTAACGCTGCTGCGTGGCGTACAAGTGATTTCCAGGTCTTTTTTGACTACTTGTATATCCCTGTATCTGGTGCCTGCTTGTACTGGTGACTGGGGCCAGGCAGCAGGCAGTAGGTTAAAACACGAGGTGGAACACTTTGTAGCTGTCTGAGCAGTGACTGTTCATGACACATAAAATGCTTCACTGCATCTTTTGTTCGAAGATTTCCAGGTAATTTGGAAAAGAGTTTAAAACAACACACCTACAGGCAGGTTCAGCTGGGAGGCTTTCAAAACATATCAAGTAGCTGCATGATTGATTCTCCACACACACTGGTACAGTTGGGGCTGTTGGCTCAGTTTCTTGAAGGTAAGGCTACATATTCAGGTGGTTTAAACCTTCATTTCTGAAAGCATTGGGGTTTTATACTATCTCTGCGTTTCGAGGCCTATCTATAAAGTTTATTCTTTTTCAAATAAATGCCTGAGTGTGGAGAGAACTAGTGAAGGCTTACAATGATTTTATCAGGCGTTGTGGATGCTCTGTACACCCACAAATCGTCTCCAGTATTTGGTCTTCAGTGTAGCTTGAAGTAGAATCATAGAATCACAGCAGGGTTTGGGTTGGAAGGGCCCTTACAGACCATCCAGTTCCAGCCCCCCTGCCATGGGCAGGGACATCTTCCACTAGACCAGGTTGCTCAAAGCCTCGTCCAGCCTGGCCTTGAACACTTCCAGGGATGGGGCATCCACAGCTTCTCTGGGCAACCTGTGCCAGTGCCTCACCACTCTGTCAAGAACTTCCTCCTGATATCTAATCTAAACCTCCCCACTTTCAGTTTAAACCCATTACCCCTTGTCCTGTCACTACAGGCCCTTGTAAAAAGTCCCCCCCAGCTTCCTTGTAGCCCCTTCAGGTACTGGAAGGGGCTATAAGGTCTCCCCGGAGCCTTCTCTTCTCCAGGCTGAACAAGCCCAACTCTCTCAGCCTGTCCCCACAGCAGAGGTGCTCCAGCCCTCTGAGCATCTTTGTGGCCTCCTCTGGACTCGCTCCAACCGGTCTATATCATTCTGGTGTTGAGGGCTCCACAGATGGACACAGCACTCCAGGTGGGGTCTCGCGGGAGCAGAGTAGAGGGGGAGTATGTCAGTTGCTCACCACTTCTTTTCAAAATGAGAACAACTTCTTCGTACAGTTTTGTCTGTCTATATAAAATGCAGCCAGTCTCCAGGCTGTTTCTTTCTCTTGTTTTTCTCTTAAATCTGTATCTCTGTCTGTTGCTCATGTTGTAGCCGTGAAGGTCAATGGCTCTAAAAAGGTAAGGTTTGGAGGCAGAGGCAGTATTTTTCATCTGGAGACAAAGCAGGCAAGTTGTTAGGCACACTTATATCCGGTTTAAGGTCTGAAATGTCTACTGTACGATAGAAAATTGAATTTTTGTTTCCAGGGTTGTATTTTGAAGATTTTCTCTTGGTTGCCCTTGCGGATCAGTGGTAGAGTTGTTTTATAACAAGTGAGGGCTCTGGGTGGGAGGACGGTGCAATCTGCGGTTGAAGGGTTTCTCACAGGGAACGCCAGTGACCTTCACCTTCCAGGGGAGTAACAATCAACTGATTCCTAACTGGGACCAGTTTCCTAGTGCACCTGGGGCAGTGATTCTGAGTCTCAGAGGGCCTCATCTACAGGGAAGCCTTCCAAATACTATATCATTATGGCATGTGAACCATTTATTGAACTTTGTAGCCCAATTACTTTTTTCAGTCCATACTGTAATGAGAAGGCTGTGATTATGATCACCTTGTTACCACTGATGGGCATGATTTGCCTGCTGAGATTCTAATGAGGGTTTCTCCCAGGAGCCCAGCACTTCCAGCAAAAGGTGGTGGCTGCTAATGTTTAGCATAGCTGCTAATATTAAAAAAGGGCTATGAAATCACTCTGCTGTTTTCAGTGGTAGGAGGACAAACATCTGTCTTGAATATTACGAGGGAAAAAACCTATCTCAGCATGCGATTTCATGGGTGAATCTGCGGTAATCAACAAGATGGAATGTGATCTCTTAGGGGAGATTGTATCATTCTCCAAAATGAGGCAAAAAGGGCAAAATAACGATTGGGCGTTGTGAGTAATGGCTTTGTAACACCTAAAGTATTCCATTTTTCTCTTAGCCTTTGGTTTTTCTTGCTGTTTTTCTTTTTTTTTTTTTTTTTTTTGGTGGGGGATGAGGGGGAGGAAGGGAAAGCTCCACATGCCAGAATGGAATTGAATAAAGACTGTTATTCATGTTGCAGCACGTTATGAAACTATCCTAGAGAGCCTAAATAGTCCAGAGGGAGACTGGGAATAGGCGTGTCTGTGGCTTCAAAAGCCGCGGTAAAAGCTGGTGGGGTCACTCATTTTGATTTCAGTCAGATCTACAGCGACTGTAAAACCTTGAAAATGCAATGATGGGTGCTAGATTAGAATCGGATGGGTCCCCCAGTTCTCCTGGGAGTGCCATGCCCACTCCCCCACTAGCTAAAGAGAAAATTTTAAAAGCCATGATTAAACTGACTTTTTACACTCATTTTAATGAACAGGAATTCCTCTGGAGAAGACACACCTCATCCTAAGAAAAAGGAGTTGCCAGCAGGACTGTGCAGGGTGAGATCGCTGCAGAATCTTTGGTGGAAAAAAATTATCCTGGTGTCCTTGTGGACATTGCCATGCCTTTCTTGCCGTGCTTGAAACAAAAGAAGTCACCTGTGCCTTTAGGCAGGAGTATCTTTCAAAAACACACACCACCCATCCAGCAGAACTACCAGGCCTTGCTGGAGACGTGCTTGAAGGACAAATGCCTGTTCACAGATGACCACTTCCCTGCCCACATCAGCTCTATTGGAACGGGACCACTGCTAAGGAAACTACCCCAAAATTTACAGTGGAAGAGGCCACATGTAAGTGACTTTCGGTGAATACTCTAATGTGAGAGGGTGATTACAGCTGATAGGCAGCAAATAGCGTTAACATCGAGCAGACTACTCTTAGACTTTAATTTAGGTGTCAGATGCCTTAATGCCTCCAGAGATTACACTGTCTCAGTTGTCATTTTGGAAGCTGGGGTACACTGTGTTTCATAATTGTCTTTGAAGCATTTGTTGCCCCAAATCATAACCAGCCTCATTCAGTTTATATCCAGTAACAGTCAGAGCAGGCAGTGAGAGCGGGCAAAGGGAGTGGTGGGAGCCAGTATCCTTGGAGCTCACAGCTCTTGATGATCCTACCATGATTCTGTGATGACAGTTCACATGGTGATGATCCCTTTCCCCAGAATTCAGGATCTTGACCTTTTAGAAGATTTCTGAGTTTCTAGACAGTTTGTAGCCTTTGACCCCTTTCCCGTGGCCCACATACTGTTGTGATGCTGGAGGCTACTACTTTTCAACAGCAGTGGCAGGTGCCTTATCCTCTTGCTGGGCTGTTTTTTTCCTGCTTAACTGTTTAGTCTATCCTTTATTGTACTTAAAACAGTCTTTTCCCAGCTCTCAAGGTTGAGCTTTTGCCACAATCAGTAACCGATCATGAATCGGTGAGTTGGTTTTAGTTTTGGGACCTCTGTTTTCTACTTGTGCCCATATTTCCAAGGCCTTTGCTGCTATCACACACTTAAACTGAACATCACAAGAGACACGTGGTACCGAGCACGGGTCACAGAGCAAGTTCTCATAACAACTGGATAACAAGTCTAGGAGGCCAGGACGGGGGACTGGCAAAGTTAGATAAGGCCTGTTAGCGCTGGTCTGTTACTCGCAGTGGCAGTTCTGTTCTTACTGAGCCGCTGAACAACATATTGACAATTAGATCTTCCTGAAAGCAATGATAGAATTATCTGGGAATTTCAGTAGCACCGAGTCCTTAAGTACTCTGCCTGTAAGGGAATTCTGCCAGCTAATAGCAGATAACATCTCCTAGCAAAGTTATTTTCTAGCTGTCATATTTTCTCAGCTTTAACCAATTTCTTAGAAGGGCTGAATTTCTGCAAAACTCATGAAAATCACTGGGAAAGTAAAGGCACTTCTGCAAATTGTGCAGGAGAGCTTGGGAATAGCAGCCCTGGTCCTCATTTGGTCTCGCACGTGGTTTGTGTTAAGTCAGGCTGTGCAGACGGAGGGAGAGTGGAGTCCCCAGGGGCCTGAGCTGGGTTGTGCCAGGCACTGCGGCTGAGGCAGCTATATCACCACCGAGGTGCTTGGGAGGGAAAGGTCACTAGGAGTCCTAGTCTCTACAAAGCCCTTCAGGTATCCCTATGCCCTAGAGATACTGGAATGGACTGGAAACCTCCTCTCTCTCAGTCCACCGTGCTGCTGCTCTGGAACTGCCTCGTGAAGCAGGCTGCCATTTGCTCTGAACGCCAAACTTAGCCCAGCACAGGCTCTCTGACGATGGATGCTGCGCATCCTTCAGTCCCAGTGCTGCAGAGGGAATGCTGAGATTCTGCCATTCAGCCTGCAGGCTTGTAGCTTGCTGTGTCTATGACTGATGGCCTGCAAACTCGAACACCCCAATTCACCAAGGATAGGGGTTGGTGCCTAATTGCTCTATCTGCCTTCTGAGGGTTTGCTGTTTCTCTGCTGCTGCCTGCAGGGGAGGCCAACAGTGTGAAAATTAGCTTGAGCAATTTGTGGGTCATTAGAGTGAAGCGTGAGTTTGACGCTTAGGTTATTAATTTGACCCCAGAGGCACTTGTGAGAGGAAATTTCTCTCTGAACAATTATTCACATATCCACACTTGTCACAGCAACAGGAACTTCTGTAGCAGCCGTCAGTTAATCTGTAGCTCAACTGTCAGTCAAACGGGTGAGATGCCAGCCAGATGAGCTGCAAGTTTGACCAGTTAGGCTCTGCCATTGTAGCCTCTTTTGGCTGCAAATTGACAGTAATTATGGAGTAGCAGGTCTGACAGGTCTGAAGTGTTGTCTTCTCAGTGAGGTGTTCGTGGACACCCATGGCAATGCACCTGTGTACCTCATGTCCGAGACCAAATTCAGTGCAGACCAAGCACAGATATCTTCTGAGGCTTGTGCCAGGTCAGCCAGGGCACATAACAGTAGTCATACCTGAACCAGAACAATGTCTGCTGGGAGAAAAGGGACCTTAGGTATTTTGGAAAGCTGTGAACAGGCAGATGGAGTGCTTTGTGTCACATATCCATGAGGTTTTTTACATCCTAGACTAACTACTCACTGGATTTCCCATTTAATGGGATTGCAGCTCTGCACGCAGAAGGTCCCTGACTTCAAGCTAAACCAGCTCACGTTACTGACTTGGTTGTCTCCCTATTTTCTTTTTGGTTGTGTCCTTCCCAGGCTTTGCACAGAAGTCCAGTATTTTATGCTGCAAACAGAAAGCAACTTGATCTCTGCCAAGGATTGGTGGGTAAGGAAGTTTCTTTGTATAAATATCTGAGTATTCTTATACAAGATTACATTTTGTATGGGATTTTGACTGTATAAAACTTGACACAGAAACAGAAGGTGTGTATATCCTTATCTCTTCACTTGGCGTGGTGCAGACAAAGCAATCATTAAGCTGGGATAGGCTCAGTAAAAAACCTTACAAGCTTCAAGGTGCGATTTGAGGGGTGAAAGGTATCTCCACAAGCTGAAATTGCCACTCTCTATTGCTACTGTGCACGCTAATGCTGCAATAGGGAGTGATCCTGTACTTTCACTGGTCTGCAATGTTCCTGCTTGACAATTGAAGAGGGACCACAGAAACAGGGAAATCTGAGACTTTCGCTATCTTTTTATCTAACGCTTAGTGTGAGTGTGTTCTCTTCCGAGCTTTGCAGTTAGGGAGATAATTTTTTATGCCTGTATTACCTAAAGTAAAAGGATATATTGTCATCTGCATAACAGGAGTAAATTAATTTTTAATTGCTTTAAACCCTTAAACACAAAGCCCTTAAACACACAGTGTTGCTTATGAGATGCGTTGGAAATTATTTTTCTCCTCTGAAAAGTTAATGTTTTCAAAGAAAAAGCTAAAAGTGTTCTTTATTTTAAATAGTGTGCCTTTCAGGGAACAGAAAAAAACCACACAATGTCAGTAAAAAAACCCCAGAATGTTTCCATTGAGAGCCATTTATTGCTAAATTTCTTATTTAACCAAACAGTATCCAAATGAGAAGATCATGAGAGAACAATTATAAACCAATCGTAGTTTGGTTAAGTAAAGCACATGTCTGGATCGTCTCATTTTCTGTGTATGATTTGTTGTAACTGTAAAGACATCAGCATAACAACTCTTCTGCTAGGATCATGCTGGTGTTCCTGAACTTGGCTGACAACTCTTGCTTTTCAGCCAACTGCATGTGTCCGTTTGTCTTGGCGCAGAGAACTGCTGGTTCCTGGCGGCCCTGGAGGCCCTGACATTCCACCAGGACATCTTGGCTGCCGTCGTGCCACAAAACCAGAGCTTTGAGAGGAAATATGCTGGCATTTTCCACTTCCGGGTACACCTGCTCCCCCACATGTCTTCCGAAATCCTCTGTCACGCTTTGTGCCACACCCTTAGATAATTTGTATGTAGATCCCTGTGGCCAGGGGCAAGTGGCCAGAGGGTATCCCAGCCTGGAGAGCAGCCCATCATCCCTCCCACAAAGCACTGCAGGCAGTGGATTAACTACAAGCCGATCTGAGGATATACCTCCTCTTTGCCTTTCTCTCCAGCTGTCCTACATGTATTTTAATCCAGACAAAAGTCCTCCTCCATGGTGGCAGCAGTCAGCAGGATCTGAGCACAACTGCTCCAACCTTTGGCCCCTTTGCCCAGCTCTTGTAGCAACCAGACAAGGGGTAAAGGGTTTAAATTAAAAGTAGGTGGATTTAGATTGGATATCAGGAAGAAATTCTTCCCGGAGAGGGTGGTGAGGCACTGGAACAGGTGGCCCAGAGAAGCTGTGGATGCCCCATCCCTGGAAGTGTTCAAGGCCAGGCTGGAGGAGGCTTTGAGCAACGTGGTCGTGTGGAAGGTGTCCTTGCCCATGGCAGGGGGGTTGGAACTGGATGGTCTGTAAGGGCCCTGCCAACCCAAACCCTCCTATGATTCTTGAGGCAACTCTGCTACCCTGCAGTTAGGAACTCCTTCACCAGTAGCCCAGCAGGGCCTAATTTCCCTGCTTAAGCCTTTTCCACCTGATACACGCTTTGTTTTTTCCTCTGGCAGGGTGGGATGGAGGCCTTGGTTCTGTGGGTGAGTCAGCATACCCTGCTGACCCAAAGCAGCCCTCCCCACAAAGCAGCTGTCCTGTGCCCACGGCTAAGCTATCTTGCCTTTCCTGTTGTTTCAAAGGGAGATCCCTTACAAGGGAAACATCAGCTCATTCCTTTCCCCTGACAGTTCTGGCACTTCGGTGAATGGGTTGACGTGGTGGTTGATGATCGCCTGCCGGTGAACGAGGCGGGGGAGCTGGTTTTTGTTTCCTCAGTCTATAAGAACGTGTTCTGGGGAGCCCTTCTGGAGAAGGCATACGCTAAGTAAGTGACTCATTCCAAGTTATGCAAATAGTCTCTCTAAAGTATGTTGGTTGGGGCCTACGCAGTTTGTTCTTGTTTATAACTGCATCTCTTAGGCCTTGCCACATTTGGTGTGTAGTAAATGGTTCTCATCTTTCTATTATTACACAGTGAAAGCTGCTGCTGCAGTAGCTGTTATCAATCCAGATCCTTGGGTTTAAATCTGAGGATTTAGGAGTAGGCATGAAAACAGACCTGTCCTGGGGGTTGTCCTCTGAGCGTTTGTCGTGGTTTACCCAGCACAGTGTTATCACTGTTTGGATTGTATTGGCTAGGATGATGCCTTCCTTGTAAATACCACAGAGGAGCTGAAGGACACAGATAAGGATTTTCAAAGGTGCCTCCTTTGAAGTATTATCAGTTTGAGAAACCACCAAGGAGTTTCATTTTGGGGCTCCGCTGAAGCATCGTACTTTGGTTTTGGTAGAAGTTCCTACTCTTGGGCCCCCCGAGGCTGAGGGGTTTAACAAGTCACATGGCATGGTGCAAATATTGTCCTCTCTCCAGGGTGTTTTGTCTGCAGTGGTTTATCAGGTCTAAGAAGAAAGCATCAAGGCATAACTGATGGACCTTGTTAATATTGGGCTGAAATAATCTCTGCAGAGCAGGGAAGTTAACACTGAAAGATCACAGCAAAGGAGAGAAAGTTGTTACTTTCATTCGGTGTTAGCATTCGAACAAAAAGACCAGAGAAAGTTGCACTGCAGTGGTAATGAAAATCAGATTGGAGGCTGAGCTCTCGAGACAGTATGTCGCTCAAGGCACTATATCTTCGATACAGCACAGTGTCTGGTGAGAAATTCAGGCAATGTTTGCTAAGTGAGAGTTATCAAAGAAGTAGTGATGAGCATGTTCTCACTAATGTGCAGTGTGGGATGACAGTGAGCGAAAAGTCTCTTTCAGACTATGGCCAGTCTTGGAGGCAATTTCCTAGATTCCCCTATTCCTAACTACCAAAGATTCCCCTAGAATTAAACATGAGTTACAGCTTTCTTTGTGCTTTTGCAAACCTTTATTGTATGTTTTTACTGGCACACTGTTCTCGACCTATCATTTGTGACTATAACCCCAATAATACATGGATGTCTCTTTTTGCTAGACTGTACGGCTCCTATGAAGATCTGCAGATTGGTCAAGTTTCAGAAGCCTTGGTGGATTTTACAGGGGGTGTTAATATAAGAATCAAGCTTGCAGAAGCTCCTCCTGATCTGTGGGATATCCTGACAAGAGCAACCTACAGCAGATCTCTCATGGGCTGTCAGACGCACTTGGGGGTGAGACTAGGAGTGACATCAGATGGTTTCACAGAAAAAAAGCCTTTCCAGACCTGTTTCCCTCTGTTCAATTAGTTGTTGTGACTCCTAAAGCTCCCACATGTGACTTGCTGCAGAAATTGTGATCTTAAGGTTAAAGTTTTCACATGGATTGATTCTCTGCTGCTATCAGCTCCCTTTTATTATGTTTAGGAACTGGTTTATCTGTCAAGAAAATTCTGTATAATAAAGACCTGCTGCATTTTCCTTTTTTTGTTAAACTTTCCATTTTTACAGATGGTGCAGCTAAGGTAGAGAGGTGTGTAATTTCGAACATGAATTCAAATCTTGGTTCCCAAGCCTTATGCTATCACTTCTGCTGTTGGGAAACCCTACTGTTATGAAGATCAAAACCTAACCTCCTGAACTTTTAAAAAGTGAGATGGTCTTTAGCCAAAGATCCACAATTTAGGAAGGGACATTCCCAATCAACCTCCCAATTACAAACATGCTCACAATATGGCTGTTAGGAGCTCAGACTTCATTATTTTTCAGTTTGAACCATTCTCCATCTGCTTTGAGAGTCATTGCTTACGCAGGTACATGTCACTGGTATTAGCAGGAATCTGCTGTGTAGGTAGGGATAGAATGAAAGCTTTATTTTTTCTGTTTCTCTTACTTGTATACAGGCAACAAAGGTCCTGAAGAATGGGCTTGTTGCTGGCCATGCCTACACAGTAACGGGTATTAGAAAGGTAAGAATAGCCCTAATGTCCTGGGTACGGGTTTGTTTGGATATCAGCAATATTTATTGCAATCGTAGGTTGAGCCCTTAATCAGGACAATTACGGTATCTCCTTCCCAGTGGCTTCTCTCAGCCTAAGGCTGAAGAAGACAGTGTGCCTGGTAAAGATGCACTTTCAAGTGTGTCAATTTTGGTATCATGACCTTGACATAAAGGACAAGGGTTATAGGTCAGCATGTCTCTAAGGGTGAGTATGATTCATGGGTCTCTGCTGAGAGCATCACCTCCAAGGGCATCTTAGCTGTTAAGGAGGAAGGGACTGGCCTTTGGGTGTGCTGTGAAGGTAAGCTGGAACCTGCTGGGATAAAAAGCCTTTCTCTGAGTCAGAGGAGAGGCCATAGAGTAGTAAAGATAAATGGATACAAGGGCCAAAACATGACAAACTCCAGATGGAAATGCAAGTCAAGGCTGAAGTACAGGAACCAAACTGGGCTTCTGTGCAGAGAATACCAGGTGGACCCCACTGATCTGCAGCAGTGTCATTGGGAGTCCCCTAAAGATACCTGTCTAGAGGTATGAGACAGTAAAACAGTAGATCCCAAAGGTTTGGTGTCTGACTATCTTGTCCAGCTTCCAAAGGAGGTTGGCAAGGATGGTAAAGGACTTTGTGGGGCTTTGCACATGTGATACATGGGTGAAAGCACGTCTGGTACCTCAAATGTAGGAAAGCCGGAAGAGATGCTGTGAGCTGGATGACGCCCGCCTGTGCTTCCCACAAACTGCAGGGGTTTGGCTATGGACTTCATCAACGTGTCTACCAGTCTGGCTCTTCTGATGGGATGAAGAGCCTCGCAGGAGTAAGGGACTGAGCAGGCACACGGAGCCAGTGTGAAGTCAGCGATTCTGCTGTATGCTGCCAACAAAGCCCCTTGTCAGCCTGGCTCTCCCTCCTCCCACCATGGCATCCCAGTCCGGGAGGCACTAATCTATGTGGTCACCCTCTAGGCTGCCTAGTGCCGTACCATTGCAATGGGGTAGGACTTAGCTCTCACAGTAGTACAGTTCTGCCCCTGCATAAGCACAAAATGAGCAGATGTTGGAAAGGAAGGGCAATTTTATGGTCAAGCCTCCAACTCAGCTATTTGTGAGGTCTCTAGTTTCAGTTATAGAAGGTGGGATAAAGCATCTTAATCTCTTTGTGCCTGCGTTCAGAGCTGCATGTTCATAGGTTTTAATCATCATGCTTGCTGGCATCAATGAAAACAAAATCTTTGTTAATATTTACTCTCTGACATAGTAAGGTGATATAAACCTGATGAGACCTTGGTAAGCACAATGTTACTGTTTTCTGCAGGTGACGTGTCAATATGGACCAGAAAACCTAGTAAGACTGAGAAATCCATGGGGAAAAATAGAATGGAAAGGAGACTGGAGTGACAGGTGAGTTTAAAAAAGGGAAGGTCGAATGCTGACTGGGAGGGAGTTTCTTGGAGGAAAGATGCTGCCACCTTCAGGCGTGAAATAGTGCCGAGAGCAGCAGGAAGTTTTAGGAACTGTTCCTTGCACAGACCCTCTGGTTTCAAAGCAATGACTCGATAGATTTCCATTTCTCCAGCAGACAGTTGGTCTCCACACATGGACCTTCAACAGGCTCAGTTCAGCTTCTCCATTCACTGAATGCCAAAGGAAGCGTAATACGGACATCAGTGGCTGGCTGCGTTGCTGTGATCTGGGTGGCACGTGGTGACAGAGAGCTGTGCAGGAGGCTTTAGACAAACAGCAGGCTCCACGGCCTACAGCCCTGTATCACGGGAGGGACCGTGCAAAGTTCTCCATGGGCTGCATGGTGTTGGAGTTGGGTTGCTGCGAAGGAGTCCCCCGTCCTGGTTGTTTGGGGAAATACGTTTGGGTGAGGGATCAGAGGAAGCAGCTAGTGAGGCAAAACGCCTGATTTTTTTTTTTTTTTTTTAAATTGGGATCCACAAAAGACAGTGGTTTGCATTCTAGACCACAAGCAACTCTAGACTTGTGTCCTATTCCTCTTTGAAGCTGGACATGTTCTGTCCTTCCAAGCTTCATTCCCTGCACAGACCTTGTTTGCTGATGCTGGGGGTTAGGGAGGAGGGAAGAGCAGAGGGAGGTGCTGGGAATGTGAGTGACTTTCACCTTGTCTGCAGAGCAGTAACTTCTCTGGTGCGTGTCTGTCACATAATGACGACACACCAGCTGTTCCTGTTGAAGAGCATAATGAGCAGCATACTGCAGGCCTGCCTTTTAAATGACTCCCAGCTGCCTCTTGTGCTGTCCTAGTCATTCATTCATTATGCCAAACACTCTTCCTATTATGTCTCCTTTGACAGAAAATTAACCAACAAAACAGGTTTAGATTTTTATATTTTAAGCACTTGGAAGCTGTGTGTGCAAGTGAATGGACTGGCTGATGGAAATGGAACGTTTCTGGCTTATGCTGGAGAAAACTGGAGCCATTTAGCTACATCTCAGGGGATCTAGAGTGCTTGTGGAGAGTGTCCTGTGGCTGAAGGCATAGGGGGCCTGTGTGTAGTGGGGGATAAATGTGGACGTATGTGGGAAGAGGGGTTTAGCCTGTTTACATAGAGGAAGGCTATGTATTCTGCCTTGAATCTGAGGCCACGTTTGGTTAGTCACCTCATGATTTTGCCCTCAGCTCTTGCAAGTGGGAGCTACTGAGCCCGAAGGAGAAGATTTTGCTGAGGAAAAAGAAGGAGGATGGAGAATTCTGGTAACGGCACAGTCTTGCCTCTCCCCTCTCTGCCAGTAGCTGTGGGGCTGCATCTGGAGGTGAAGCAGCGCATCGCTGCTTAGGTGGAGGCCTATGTGCTCTGCTTTAACGGCCCGCGCTGGCTTCCCTGCGCTCATCCTCTGCCTGACGGTGGGAGAGCAGGAGCTGTGCCGACACGGAGAGACGCGCTGCTCTCCCATGGCAGGAGCGAGGGAGCAGCAGGGCAGCGCCCGGCCTGCCAGGGCTGCTGGAGACAGGGGCAGCTTTCAGGAGGTTTTGTCCTGCCTTTTATCTTTAAGGTAGCTTTGGGAAGCTCTTCCTTGCCTATGTTTGTTTGTGGCTTCTCCACAGCTTCTGCCACGAGGTGGCAATGTTGTCGCCCCTGTCATCCCACTGTGGTCCCTTTGGTGGCAATGTTTTTTTCATCTCCCTGCTGCTATTCTTTGCTGGAATTTTAGCCGTGTATTTGCTACTGCTAGATGCTGCTGTTGGAGCAGACGCTCCCCTCTTTACAGCCTAATAAAACATGAGCATTACCATATGTAATGCAGAATGGTGCAGCTTCGAAGTTCCCTGCTCCCTTTCCCTTTCTTTTTATAAGCCATATGGACTAAACTGAACTGCTGACAAGATGTCTCTTGGCACTCTTTTCCCAGGATGTCTCTGCGAGACTTTAAGATTCATTTTGTAGATCTGATGATCTGTAAATTAACTCCAGACCTGATGAGCCAGGAAGATGGGAAGAAGTGGATGTACTCCCTGAAGAGTGGGAGATGGGTTAAAGGAAGTACAGCGGGAGGAAGTCTGGGATTCTGTAATGGTGAGGGGTGCTCTTTTGGATGACTCTGGAGTAACATCAGCTCTGCTGACTTAATTCCAGCACCTTGTACTGGCTAACACAAAACTGACAACAGAAATGTGCTCTTCCTGCACAACCCTCCACACAAACATCAGAAATAAACAGCCGACGGACTTTGATGACCTTCTGCTACTGCAGAAGCTGGATCACTTGCAGACATAGGGCAGTGATCTGGTTATGGCATGAGAATGAGCTGCAGGATCCCAGGGGCATTAAACTTGTCAAAATTTACATCCTCAGCGCCTCCAGGAGTGGTATTTTAAGTAAAGTGCATGGGAAATACAGAGGCCTAGCCCTCTGGATGCAGACCAGGTGGGCTCTGGAGTCAGCCAGCCCATATGCTGGAGGTGATGGAGGAATAGTGATAACATTTATAAACAAAATGAACTCTTAGTTTCAGATGAGCCAAAATGTAGTTCCTTGTTCTGGGCCTTTGTCCTGTCTTACTGGTAAACTTGTAAACTGCATCTGAAGATCAAATCCCTGTGGGGTCTGGATGTCCAGACAACCTGTGACCCATTCAGCCCAATGCTAGGCATCATGCGGGAAGCTGGCAAGCAATTTTGTGGTGGAAAATGACATGAAAATGTTTTACTTCTTTTGCTTAGGCACCTTTTGGATGAACCCTCAGTACTGGCTGAATGTTTTACCAGTCGAAGACAGTAAGAAAAGCCTCAGTTCCTGTAATGTGGTTATATCCCTGATGCAGAAACACAGCAGCAAACACCGGAACTGTGCTCCGCACCTCTTCATTGGATTTTCTCTCTACAAGGTGTGAAGAATTGCTTTGCCTTTCTTGCTTTCACCAAATAGGAAAACTTCCAGCCCCTGTAAATTGTAGAGCTCTGCAGACTAATGGTTTTGTTATGTGCAGAGTGATCTGTGCTCTTTCCTCCTTGCCTGTGCCCAGTCTCCTCACACATGAGGGCTAGGCTCCCTCTGGCTCTGTGCCCCACTTGCTGCTGTGAGTTTTCAGAGTTATGGAGAGATGGCTATGGGGAAGGGTTTTCAGGTGGAGGGGCTGAGGGTTTTGAAGGCAAAGACCCAGGCTGAATGCACATAGCTGCTTCCCAGAAATGATATGGCCATGTTGTGTGAGACCCAGAGGTCTCTGTCTGACAGATGCTTGTTTCTTTTCTTCCTGCAGGTGCATCTACAGGTGAGTCCCTTGTCACTGCTACTTGCTGGGGGACCTGGGCTGGTGCAGTTGTTATGACAACACTGAAGGTGGTGTGTTTGCCTTTGCTCCTTGGATGACAGCTGGTAACAGGGGATTTGAGTTCAGTGACTAATAGTGACTTTGAGTAAGTCACTATTAATGCAGAACTATCTACTGACCCTTCTGAAGAGCAGCCATATCAAGATTGCTCCGTGGCCTTAAAACGGGACATTACTGCGTCTTCAAAGGTGTTAGAAGCGGCATCAGTGTTTAACCAATCAGCACTTTGTCCCTCCTGCAATTGTGGGATGGTGCCCCAGTTCTTGGCTGTGTCTGAGCTGGCCTCACTGCAGCTCTTGGGAGCCAGAGCCACCTTTCTGCTACCTCTCAGCCTTGGGATGAGGTAGGAACAGAGCCTGTCCCCCATGCATGTCAGAGGTCTCCCAGGGAGCTCAGATTCCTTCCTGACTGGGGATGCTCTAGAGCTGATGCTTCAGGTGGTTTTGGCATCCTCAGGCCAGCTGTATTTCTAGCATTTTCTTTAGCCAGAAGCCTTTGGAACCTAAGGACAGGCCCTGGAAGTTAAGCCTTGATGTATGTCCCTTGACCTTAGAGGGCTATTTAAAACAGGGAAAGGTTTAGCTCCTTTTATCTTGAAAGGGCATATCTTCCGCTCTGTTACTACTCAGAACATCTCTTAAGTGAGAGTCCCTTTGAATGGGGGCTGCAAAGAACTAGTTTGGATGTATGGTCAGGACAACACAATTGCATTTCCAGCATGGTAGCCACGAGGTAAGATGCCACTCCTTCCTGACTTAAATATTCTGGGCACTATCAGGGTTGCAAGTGAGACCAAATTCCTAGCAGAAGGGGTCTGAGTGTGGCCCTAGCACACTGCTGTGCTGCACCCCAGGGGGAATGGTGGCAGCCAGGACTTTAATTTCAGGTTTGTAGTGATTGCCAAGATCAATACAGAGAGATGGCAAGCTGAGAGCATCTAAGGTATTGGAACTGCAGTCAACAAGGTATTGACTGGAATATAAAAACGTGAAATGTAACATAAGGGGCATGAGAAGGAGTAACCCCAAACCTTTCAGAAGAAAGATTGCTCTATTAGTAAGAAAAATACTGGCAAAGGAAGAGGAATAACATCTCCACTATGAGGCTGCGGAGTGAAATGGCTAAATGTTCTGAGGAACAGCCAAGATCAAAAGGTGACAGTGGTCTTAGCTAGCAGGGTTATTTATTTGGCTTGTGTACTGGGCACTCAGTGGCATTAAAAATGAGTTCAGTGTTACCTGGATCAACACTTTATCCATCCTCCCATTGTAGAAAAGTGCCTGCAGAGTGGAATATCTGTAAGAGCCAGGAGTGACAGGCAGATCAAGGACACATGCATGGTGTCAGGGCTCAGGATTAGATTGCTCCTGCAGTATGCTCAGATCACAGGTGCTCTGAAAAATCCTCTGCTGCCAGATCCCTAGTGCAAAGGACAAGCTGGGAACAAAGTGGATGGTACCTGTGGGATAGGAGGCATGTTCTGGCTAGTGAAGAGCAGTCTCTGCAGCAGTTCCTGCCAGCAGTCATTCCTGCCAGTATAGAAATGACTTTTGCAGTATCTTAGGTTGATAGAAGCCACTTTTCCTCCCCGTCCTTACTGCCGTTCCTCGCATGTACTATTATATTGTTGGTACTGTTATCCCTGGCTGTCTTCAAGGCCAGGATGGATGAGGCTTTGAGCAACCTGGTCTAGTAGAAGGTGTCCCTGCCCATGGCAGTGGGGTTGGAACTAGATGGTCTGTAAGGTCCCTTCCAACTCAAACCCTTCTGTGATTCTATAATGTTACAGGAAGCCCAGTTCTTTCTCATTTTAGTATTGTGCAGGTACGGCGTGCGGTTAGAACCACCATGTCCTGGGAAGAGAAAGAGCCCTTGGGCCCTGTTATTTGCTTGTGCTGTAAAACAGTCTGAGGGGTGAAGGCTGGCTGTCTATGCTCTGCCTGTGAATTCTCCCCGTGCCTTTTGTCCGTTTGTTCAGCTGGTGCAGAACACATTTCTGTTTCTTCCCCTAATAGTATCAGGAAAGCAACAGAAAGCTGCCCCCAGCTTTCTTCACCCACCATCAACCTGTGAACAAGCACCAGTGCTTCCTTGATGAGCGGGAAGTGACTCACGACTTCCACCTGGAACCTGGTGTCTATGTGATTGTCCCATCCACCCTGGAGCCTCAGCAGGAGTCTGAATTCATCCTGCGGGTCTTCTCCAGGAAGCATGTTCTTCGGTGAGATGCCGCTGCCCCTCTGCCAGCACCTAATTCTCTGGGATGGTGGGATTGTCTGGTCTGTCTAGTCTAGTGGGGTCAACATAAAGACTGTACCATGCAAAAGCCAGCCCAGCCTCTTTGGTTGAGGCTGGCTGTGTCTCTCCCAGCTTAGAATGCTCAGTGAATGAAGCACTACTTTTGGCCTTATCCTTTCAAGAAGTCTTAATCTAGGCCCACACAAGGGATTCATGCAGCACGCTCGTGTCTGAGACTGGAGGACAACCGTTTTAATGCACCATCAGTTTGCCAGGAGACCCTGCTGGCAGTGCTAGGGTGGTTGCTTGTGCAGAAATGGTGCTTTGGAGGCCTCAAATTCCAGCAGCTGCTGGGGAAGTGCATGGACGTGAGGGTTTCCCTTACTGCAGCTGTAACTGGGGAAAAAACACGCTGCAACAGTGGGCTGGGGCCCTTTCTGGGGATGGGGATGCCACCTCTGATGAGACAAACTCACACCTCTGGGATATCTCCTCAATGTTTCTGCTTTTTGCATTTTCAGGGAAATGGGTGGGAACACCAGTTTCACCCTCTCTAAGGTGAGTGAGTATGAAGGGAGTGGGAGGTCTGTGGTTCAGTCTTTGACTCCGGTTGTTGGGTTTTTCCTGGTGCTCTGCCCTATGGAAAGGCTGAGTGAGAATGTGAGTGCTTGTGTTGCAGCACTTTTGAGGGTCAGCTTGGGTTTACAGGCAGAGTCCCTTGGACCATGTGGACAGATGCAGTCAGATGTGGGGGATGAGCAAATTTTTAGATGCCTTTGTTAGTTCCCTTTTTGCAAACTTCTTTTGAAGCAAACATCATCTTACGCAGTCTGCAGTCTTTGCTGTTCATGGCTTTTTGGAGACTCCTGGTCCGTTCTTCCACTTCCTGCTCCTTTCATCCCTTGAAGGTTTTGAAGATGTCACGGGACTTGGGCAGTACTGTTCCCATGCAGTGGTCCTTGGGTTATTTTCAAAACAAGTGAGCTCACTGGCAGTGCACGGAGGTCTGCAACTTGTGCAAGGAAGGTTACAGCATAATCTGTTCCTCTGGCGTAAACAGGGCCATTTCTTCTTTCACCTCCTCTATTCTCCTGTGTAAAGGAGGAAAGAGACCCTTCTCTCCCTTCTCGGCATGGAGTGAGCCCCAGCCTTTGCTGGTTCACGGCTTGGTGGAAGGGAAATGTTTCTCCCCACTGAGTGTTATCTGAATATTTCTTTCCAAGAAATAGCATTTCTGTGAGGTGGGGAGCTATCTTAGCAGTGGGCTGTGTTAGCGATGCAGCATTGATTGCAGTGGTGAGGAGAAGGTGAAAGGGCAAGGGATGAGAGTGCAGTTCTGGGAAAGCATCTTTAGTAACCCTGTAACTCTGCCTTGGATGGCAATATTTTTCCTCCTTGAGTTAAAGTCTTTTTTTTTTTTTTAATATCTTAAAGGAAATTGTTGATCGGTATGAAGGCAAGATCTGGGAGGATTTCTTCACAAAGCATTTTGAACAGGTAAGTGTGTGCATGAGTTGTCAGGGTAAAGTCTTCCAGAGCTGTTGTTCTCTAGCTGTGGGAAAGTAAAAGCCTGTGGATGTTCAAGGGAGGTCTGGACGTGGAAGCGTGGGGAACAGAGAGGGGCCACAGGGGGTTGGGGTGTGTCTACAGTGCTGATTCTGTGCAGCCCATTTAACCACAAGGCTTAGGAATATTAGCATGGAGAGAGGCATACTTCTCTGCAAAACAGGGCGTGAATGCCTCGAACTTAATGCCCCAGGTCATTGTGGATGTGACAGTGTCATCAGGCTCTAAAGGTACCAGCAAACTGACGGGCAGCAGGTCCATAAACAGCCATCAAAGGACTAAGCAGAGATGTACCCGCCAAGATCCCTTTTCCAGCAGGTGTGGGTGCCAGGGAGACAGGAGAGTGGACTGCAGAAGCTGACCAGGCTCACGTGCTCCCCCTAAACACTAATTCTTACTGCCTTCACTGGGGACAAAGTGGTGGGCTACGTGGTTCCATCCTGCTCTTTAGGGTGTTCTTACACTCAGTGGGGAAAGTCGCCTGTTAGAGAACACCCCCTGAAATACTGACACTTGTCTCATGCATTATTCATCGCAGTTTGGTGGCGCTAACTTGCTTTGGGAGGTGAAGTAAGTGCCAGGTGTCCCATCACCTCCTTTCTTCACTAATTTTTCCTATTGAAATGTGATCCTTATGGTGAAAGATCCTTTTTAATGAATCTGGCCTGATTTGGGACGGAGTTGACCTTCAGGGATCCCACTACCTATGACGAGGGGTGCAAGTGTTTTCACCTTGCGGAGAAGGTGACTGCCTTTATTTAGCATCATACCCTGTATTTGTCAAACACCATTTCCAAAAACACATTTGTGCTTTTGATAGCAACCTTATGACAGAAGCTGTTAATAAAAACAAGCAATGCTTTTACTTTTTGCCACTTGTTTAAGATTTTGAGAACGGCGTGGCTTTCAGATGTGCTAGAAATTGCCACATACTGTGAGGTGCTGGTCCTTCGCTGTCAGGAGGTCCAAGTATGCACAGAGGCGAGCCGTACTGCCATTCTCAACACATTACCCTGGCATGCCTCAATGATCTGAAAACAGGCTTTTATTTTTGAAGAGTGACATTTGAAAAAAACCTCCAAAAAACAAATGTCACAGTTTCTAAAAAAACCCTGTAAACCTTAGTGTAACAAGGTGGAGGGGAAGTCTCTGCTTTGAAAACTTTTGGGAGGAAATATTCTAAAATTTCCTTTTTTTTTTTTTTTTTATTTGTAAATGATAAAAGGGGAATATTTGAAGCAAGTCTCTTGACAGCGTGCTTGATGGGATGGGTGGCACCAGGGCTGAAAGGTTAACGGTCTGGATGCTGCCTTGATGTAAATCTGCAGTACCGCATTGATCTGTGTGGAGCCCTGAGAACTTAGCCTGGAGCAGACTGCAGCTCTTGCAGGCTGAGAATCTTGTCATATTCAAAGGGAGTCTTTTCTATTGATTTTCACGGTGGCTGGAGTGGGGCTAGAAAAGCGGAGAATGAAGGTGGGACATGCTGGGAAAACAAAAGAGGGAGAAAAGTGATTTAATACTTTAAAAAAATAAATAAAAATTCTCTTCCATATCACAGAATCCTGAAATAAATGCTGTTCAGCTTCAGAGGATCCTGAATAATATAACTTGGAGAAGTAAGTGATGAGAAATAATGTTTCTGTGAAATAATCCCTCTTAGAGAAAAGCCTCAGCTCCTGTATCTGTTTCTTGAACTCTGGAAAGAGAAACTGGCTTGAATCTGACTGAACTGACTCTTCTGATGCCATGTTAGATTTCCAGAAAACAGGATTTTCTGGGGTGTGAATCAACATGGCAGAAATTTTATAAGCAAAGCTACTCTAGTTTCAATTTCAGCAACTGGAAGAATGAGGGGGAAGAGCAAGCATAGGTATTGTGTGTGGATGCAGACTCTGAATTTGACCTCCAAACCCAGCTTGACCTCGGCCTTGATTCTGAAACTGCCTCTCATTTCATGCTGTGCCACTGCCACCGTCTCGGTAGAGCCCCTGCTAGGAGGTGTAGAAAGTCAGCCTGGTCTGTAGGCAGCTAGGCAGTGGAAAGGGGTTTTGTCTTGCTGTGTCTGGTTCCTGTCTGCTATTCCTATTTACTCCTCCCTGCTATGCACGCGTTGGGCTGTTCCTTGCTCTGTTTGTGTTTGGGAGGCAGGGTGGAGGTGCAGGTAGCCTGTGTAACTTATGCTTGTGAGAACTGGGTGAGCCCTGAGGTTCTCTCTCTTGTGAGCACTGCAACATCCGCTCTGCCAGTGGCAGCCCAGAGCACTCCACAAGCTCAAAATAGGGTCCCTAGTTATAAATAACGTGGCCTGGACATCGGTGAGGTGGTGCAGGGGCTGTTTTCTCTGAACAATAACAATGAAATTACAGATACAGTGATGAATCCAGCTCTCCTTCCCAGTTTCTTCTCCGGTAATAACTGATGAATAACACAGAAAATACACCGTCCAGCCATTATAGGCAACAAAGACGAGGAACAGAAGACTGATGTGGTGCCTTTTCCACTTAAGCTGAATTTGACATTGCTCTTTTTTCTACAAAGGTGGACAAGGACAGCTCTTCTGTCTTTGCAAAGTCACCCACCAGGCACTGCCTTATCTGTGAGAAGGCTATGTTGAACAGAGAGTCTTTATTTTTCATAAGTGATCAATTTTAAGACATTAATTTAAAAACTTTATGTATGTGATTCATATTTACTAAATAGGGCTATTACAAGATTAAAACATCTTCACTTTCTGCAGAGAAGGGATTGGTGAGTTATGGTTCTGTCCCTTGCTCAGTGGAAGTCTACAGACAATCTATAATCATGATTTGCAGTGAGATTAGAGTCTATTTCTGTTATTCTTCATGTAATTTATGTATGAACCAGGAATGCTAAGCTTTGATGCAGCATCATGTTTTCAGTGATGCCTGTACTTTTAATTATATTAACGGAGCTGGCAGTGTGTCTGTGAAAGAGGGAGAGAGAGAGAGAGATGCTTCGCACAAGGGTTTCAATTAATCTGCTGTGCTGCTCCCCAAAGCTCTTCAGGTCAAGTGACTTTTCTCAAGGTCATGCAGTAAATTCTGTTTGGGATTACAGCTTTGGATGTCCTTTTCCTTCCATTTTCTCTAATAGCTGGAGATAGTGCACCGTATTTCATTCCGTATTACATGCCTGCAGGGAGCTCATATTGGATTTTCTGAGACTACTAGAATCCATCCTGTTGCCTCATATTTTTATCTTCGTAAATGATACGTCTTCTCAAGTGGGTGTAAAGTTTCACAAAGGTTTTGGCGCGTGAGCCCTCTCAAGGGAGGGGGAATTTTGGGAGAGTCCATTTTTCTGGGAGATGTTCAATGACTCCTCAAAACAATCTTAGGGTTTTTTTTCCTCTGTCTCTTCAGATTTCCAGAGTTTTCGCCTAAGCTTCAGTCTGGATGCCTGCCAGGGTATCTTGGCGCTCCTGGATGTATCCTTGACATGAGTGATACTTCTGACTCACATAATACTTCACTGGAGTACTATTTCTTAGTGCAGACTGGGTGTAACTGTGATTTCTTTAGCACCAGGACATGGTCCTGCTTATTGAACTTTTCACCCTCCATAATAACAGTTCAGTTGTGACAGATGGAATTGGTTTGGGGAAGGGGTTGATTCCTGCCGCCTTTGAAACCAACAGCCAGGTTTCCATTAGCTTAAGTGGGAGGAGGATCAAGCCTATAGATGGGCTTGTGGGATAAGAAATAATTATCCTCATATTATAATTGTGTGAATGTTAGAGTGGCCATGAGATTTTGGTTTGTTTGGGGTTTTTTATGTAAAAAGTGCTTTCTGACATTTAATTGAGATGTTCTGACCTTAATTCTCCCATGAAGCTGAATGCCTCTGGCACACTGAGTATCCAGGAATTCAGAGTTCTGTGGAAAAGGCTGCTTTTCTATCTGGTATAACAATAATTTCTGTGTCCCCTTGCATTATCTCCCTGCTCACAACCTCTTTGGTGTTGTCTGTTGTTGTTTGGTGGGTTTGTTTTGTTTAAAAATATTCCCCCGCCAGGAAGTTTTCCAGAAAAGAGACACTAGCAGATCGGGAAAGCTGGACCTTGTGGAACTACGTGCAGCTGTTCAGGAGACAGGTGAGCCCACAGCACATCTTGGCAAGTCTCATCTTCTTCCTCACAAAGGCTGGAAATAGCCCAGGGCTGGGAAACACCTTGAGAATTGTAGGTAGAGCCCAAGAGGAGTGGAAAACATCATAGGCTGCATGAGCTTAGCCTTCTCTGCTTCTCTCTTTAGCTGGGTAAACGTATCTGAAAATTACTCTGCTGTGGGATGGGCTACTTAATCCTTGCCCCACTGTGGTCTCATACTGATAGTTCTCTGAAGCAGGAGTGTCTGTTCAGACCCAGTTTTTAAAGCCCTTCCTGTTCATTGCTAATTTAATTTTAAAAGACTGTGTGGGGTTGTGCGAATACATGCAGGAGGCCAGGTCTAGCTCATATTAAATTGCTAGTTCTGCGGAAGGCGACAGCTCAGGGACTGAACTTGGAAGTGTGGGACTTGCACGGAGGCAATGCTGGTTCCAGACTCCACTAATATAATGTCTGAAGCTTGATCTAGCAATGGAGGACCATACACATCGGTCCAAACACTCCGTTGCTGTTACTGAGCTTTGCGTGGGGGCTGGTGTTCAGTCTTGTAGCCTGTTTTGCAGGTTTACAGCTTAAATATCACTCCTCTTCTTAGTGTGTGGTTCACCCAGTTCATCTGAGACAGTGAAAGCACAGTGAGAAACTGTGTGGAACTCTGCTAAAGCAAACTAAAATCCCAGGCCATGAATAGAAAATACTTTTATTCCTTGCAAATGCTGCTTGGCATTGAGACTGATGCTTTCTGCACGAGCTTCCTCCGGATTTTCTTTCTCCTCTCCTTTCCTACCCTCCTGTGGAGTATTGCTCTTAAACACAGCTGCTGTTATTACGCTCATTCAGTCCTGAGCAAAAGATGCCCATGTGTATTCTATTCCAGCTCTGGCAGGAATGTGAGTATAAGGGATCAGATCTGAACCCTTTCAGGTTTGGAGGAGATATCTCCATGGTCTGGTTTGGACTGGCCAATATTTAATTATCTTAAGGGAGGTTTGAAAAATTGAGCTGTTGAAGGGCTGGAGACCACTCAGTTGTGCACTCCTGTAGCAGCGAATATTCACCTGCCTACAGCTGGGAGTTGCCACCTCATTCTGTTCCCTTTTATTTTTATTTTTTTTCCCCCTTTTATGAAGGCATTTCGCTCAGCAATGAAGTCTGTAATCTGATGGCAATCAGATACGGTGACCCTGACTTGAAGATCAGCTTTGAGAGCTTTGTGTGCTTCATGCTTCGAGTGGAGATCATGGGAGGTGAGGCTGGCGCTACGTGGCGGCCGGGCAAGCTGGGCTGCCAGCCCTGGCCCTTCTGATGCTGCTCCAGCTGGCAGTGGCAAGGTCAAAATTAGGAGGACTGGGTTTCTGAGTGGGCCAAGAGGAATCGGTTTAAAGCAAAGGGCTGATATGGAGGAAATCAAGCTCTTTTTCTTTACCTTTCCACCAGTCACTTTATGCAGACATCCAGGTTATACCTATCAGAGTGATTTAGCTCCCTGCAGGTTTGCACCAGCCTGTTATAGGAGGAGGTAGGCAAATTACAGATGGAGACCGCTCATTTCTCACAGAGAGCGCCTTGGAACATACATTTTTTTAGGAAGAAGAGTGTCTTGGAAATACACCTTTGGTGGGACTGCAGTTGTGATGATGAGACAGCTGATAGTCTGTGAGCTCATGCTGTAGACACTTTGCACATCTCAGAACTGTAGCAGGTGAGGTTGGAACCGCCTGCATTTTGAAGTTTCACAGCTGGGTGGACAGACAGTAACATGCCTGACTTTATTCAGCTGCTCCCTGCGTCCCAGCCCTCAGGGATGTTCAAGCGACAGAAAGAGAGGTTCACGTGCACCTGTAAATAGCCTGCCAGCTCTGCCTTTGAGTCTTTCCTGAGACAGAGTGTCTTGGCTGGTGTTGATCTCTTGGCCATCAAGTTGACGCTCCGCATTTATGTCTTTCGCAGAGGCCTTCCGCAACTTAACGCAAGATGGCAAAGGGATCTATCTCCGGGAATCTGAGGTAAAGCCTGTTCCCTGGCTGGCAAATGCAGGCTCCTTCATGGCAAGTGGCACCGCATGTTTTGGTTTGTTCTGTAGCGTTAAAAAAGGTGTCTTTACCTGACCACCTACAGAGTAGAGTAGAAACAACAAGGAGCTTCAGGCTTTTAAGTCTGTATTACGGCTTCTGCTCCTTCCAGAGACACAGTCTCCAATGCCCCATAGTCCGGTTCAGTTGTGACTGTCACAAAGCGCTCTCAGGGGTGGATGTGTTCAACCTGCTTTCCCCGTTCCTTTACAGTGGATGATGATGACGTTGTACTCCTGAAGCAACGCTGCAGAAGAGGGGACAAGTGGCCCTGTACCAGGATCAGGAAGGCTGCCTCGTAGCAACTTCCTGGACTCTCTGGGTTCAGCCCTACAATTTACCTCTGACAAAAAGTCTTGCCCTCAAGCAGATGTGACCTAATGGCCACATATTTGGTGAATTGAAGTTCTGCTTACCAAAGTATTCATTTTGAGTCCTACTTCAGTTCAGACAGCCCTTCAGTGGTTTTTCTTTGCAGATTGAAAAGTACAGTGCAGTGAGGAGTAAACTGATCCCATATTGCCTCTAAGTCACTGGAGATTGGCAGGGAATAGATGTTCTCTGTAGCATGATACAGGAGCAGTCTGGTAAAACACTTGGATATTTGTCAGTTGTTCTCGTACAGCAGGACGAGAGAGAGAGAGGGCGTGTGCACTTTGAAAGGATGCAGGCACACGTAGGTTGTAGCTAATTAAATAGTGGGAACTGGTATGCACAGCATTAGAGAACACGTTATAAGTGGGACTGTTCACATCAAACTCCGTGCCAGAGTTACTTGATGCATCTTCTTTCCCTTTCTTAGAATTTACTTATTTGGGCTGGAAATTTCCATGCTAAGTGCCTGTGACGGGTTGCAGCTTTGGGTTTTTTTGCATTCCTGTGGACACCACGATTGTCTCTCTTTTCCAGTGCACAGCCCAGTCTAGGTGCTGAATGAAACAGAGCTCCAACGGGAATGACCACCTAATGAAAGACCATACTGTAATGCCTTTGTAGGAAGGAGTTACGTTAAGCTTGCATAGGCAGCCTTCCCTCTGGCTTTTTGTGACTTTTTAGGTACTTAATCTCATAAATATCCTTTTAAAGCACATATGAGAGTCAGGAATGAGGCGAATTGTGGATAGGAATGTGAACACGAGCAAAAGTCTGAGCTCAGGTATGTGCTTAGCACTGCATCGAAGCCCATGCAAGGGCAGCAGCGTGTTTGGAGAGAAACCCTGTCGTGTGTTAAGTGCTCCCAGTCAGGAGGCGTTAAACAGTAAAACCAACAGTGTGCTCTTTATTCTCTGCAACAGTCAGTGTCTAGGCCCTATCGGTTTCATACCGGTTTATGAGAAAACTCTCAGAACCAGAGAGTAGATAGCCGTGTTGGTACTTGTTTATAACAGATGATTTATCTGTCGTCTACTGTGATGTCACCGGAGCCACAGCTCAGATCTAGGGAGCAGGGACACGCGCGGCCCTTGAGTGGTGGGGTCACAGCACCGCCACCCTGCCAGGCTCCCGAGGAGGCTCCGTGAGCAGCTCCCGTCACAAAGCGTGTGCCCTCTCCCCAGCTGTCATGCCTCCCCCTTGCCTTTGTGACTCGCAGCTGAACACGGTGGTGCAAACTAAATTAGCCTGATTTAATTTGCGCTCAGCTCAGTGGGGGACATTATAAACACTGATTTACCGTGCACAGGAGCAGCACCGGGAGAACGGGGAAGGTCGATCGCGAGAGCATAGGTCTTGCTTTCTCGGTGCACTCCGAAAAAAATGGTCCATGGCACGCATGGGGGTGGCCAGGGGAGGCCCTGTGGGCGCAGAGTGTTCACAGGAAGAGTCTGTTGGACACGATGGGATGAAAACCTGTCAGTCCCAACTGGGTCTGTTGCACAGTGTGTGTAATCAGCTGAGTGAGAATCATTTAAGTCTCGGAGTCCGCTGGACGTGGCTCTGGCACAGGCCGTGTGCGCAGGAGTGGTGCAGGTCACCCGGTTTCGAACTGCAGTTCATTTTAACGCTGTACACGTTGGTTTTTATATCAGATTTTGTACTTACTTACTTCATACCTCTTTAACGCAGAGCAACGTAATTACAGGGAGATTATTTTGCTATTGATTACTTGATCGAGGAAAGAAACAGATTTCATCCATGCCGTGAATCACTAAGCATTTGCAGCAATAAACTTTATTGAGCCATGTGACTTGCTGTTACAGAATTGTAAAGAATGCTTTACTGGAATGATTATGCCAAACCGTGTACAATTCAAACTGAATTATCTGGCTCACAATAAAATGGTCTTGGCAAGGGCACCTACTCGGACACTGTGAGGCTTTTATATTGCTAACGGAATAATGTTTTCTGGGCAATTCTGAAGATATATTACTCCTCATTTACAATGTGCATTGTGGAAAAAAAAAAACCCAACTGGTCTAAAAGGCTGCTGAAGGATGCGTTCGTTTGTAAGCACAGCCTTTACAGAGATGCTGAGCTTTGCAGTGGGTGGTATTGCTCCA